GTGACTTGTTGTTCTGCTTGGGATGTCTTAATTTAACATGTATTATGTATGACGTGACAGTTTACGTATATAACCGAATAAACGATTCGTATTTATTAGACAAAGTAAAGAACGAAGTTTATTAATAACGAATTTTTTATTTTTTCTTCATGCCTTCAGTCTCGAGGGATTTCTTAAAAACTTTAACTTAAGTGGTTTGGCCTCGTATAATGTCAACAGCGCTAAATTCAAACCAATTGATTTGACGGCCCACATAGATATAAGCTGGCCGTGTATAAACGCGAGTACTAATTACTCCTTAAAAGGCAACGTCCTTAACTACGATATTTATGGAGATGGAGGCATAAAGTAAGTATTTGTTCCTTTTGAGAGAATTTAATTATCATACTTCAATCGCGATTTTCTAATATCTATGACACATGAAAAAGAATTTTGCTGCCAATTTTTGCATTTTATTATTTGTCAGTAAAGAGATAGAAAAATTTAAATCTTTAGCAAATGTGTATTAATTTCAATTATTATTATCATAATAATATATTATGATTACCTTTATCGTAATTAAAATAAATAATTGTTTATTATCATTATCATAATTATTGTAATTAATTATTATTATCATCATTATTGCAGTGAGAAAAATCGCTGGCTTTTCTTGTAAAAAATGCTCGTTTTTTATTCTGCTTCATCTATATTTAACTATAATGCTTGAAATATGTACGTGAAAAAAAACGGGAGCTGGAATGACTGACGATGAGTTAGCCGTTTTTCATTCAGCGCTTTCGCGACTTTATCAGGCGACGCCAACTGCGACAAAACGCGTTATTAAATCGTGACTGAATTTATATGCTTCGCGCGAAACACGCGATCGCGCCGATCCGCGATCTCGCGTTCAGCTTTCTTACGGTCAAGCTCACCTTTAGCAAATGCAAAACTCAATTGAGATTGCTTTGATGGAAATTTCAACGGAACTTTTTTTAGATTTAAGATAATTTATCGTTCCATTATTAAATTGAATGATAAATTTATATTTAAATAAATCTTTTTAACGCGCACAAAATCGGGAAAGAAGATCTTTTTGATGGCGTTTATTTAAAATATATAATAATTAACAATTTTTTTTTTATAGATTATATATATATATATATTCCTTTATAATTAAGTTTCTTCCTTCAAAATTACATGTAAAAAAGAGTTTAATTATAGTTATCAAATATTGAGTGAAATAATAATTTGTAAAGGTAAAATTATGTTTAGTTATTATCCCAACATTTATTTAAAATTATTTCATTCAATATTTGGTGGCTATATAATCATCACTTTTTTTAGTGCAAGACACATTTTATAATATTTCTTTCTACTTGATTTATTTTTATATTTTATCTATTTCTATATCTGTACATTTTATTTCTATCCATCTCGATAATTTTTTAAAGTAAAAATTTGAGATCATAAAGTCTTTAAAGCTACATAGGTATATTTAATTTTCAGTGGAACTCTACATAACTTCAGAACTATTATGGATGTTGGTTTCAACTTGAAGGACCGGTATATGCAAGTTCAAACTATAGCAACAAAGATTTTCTTGGACGCATTGAAGGTAAGTAATTAAGTTACAGTTTTGTCAATTCTTTTCTGGCTTCTTGATTGTGATTTTCAGGACTCGCATCTATAAGATCAAGCTAATGCAAAAATAATATCGAATATAAAATAATTTTACGTTAACATTAGATAACTTTTTGAAAAACAAAATATGCATATAATTGTCAAAACTCTATTAACGATTTTCATATCCTTAAAATAAAGAATAATTCAAATTAAATTAGAAGTTAAAAGAAAAATGATGAAAATCAAATATCGCTTTACCACTATATATTTCAGATAATGAATTTTCTTGGCCATTTTTCTCATGTAAATGTAAGCTTATATTACAAGTTTTCTCTACAATGTCATGCACATTTAATTTTTCAAAATTTTGAAGAATAATTTATTAATTTTTTAAAATACGTTAAATAGTATATGTTAATTTCTTGATTATGCGAGAAAATTGTTATTTGTACGATATATCACTGACGAAATTAACACTGCCACGTTTCTTGCCTTTCAATTTGCATATATAAAAAGGCGACCCAGTCACACTGCTGCAGAGATATCGATCTTCTACAAACTCCTATTATAAAAAAGACTCGAAAAATCTACATTTCATTTTACTGAAAAAAAAATTATTACTAAGCTCCTCAGAAACTTTTTGATTAATAAGCATACATTAATATAAATAATATGTATGAATATATAGATAGAAAAAAAGAAATTAATTGATTATGAAAAATCGATGGGTCTAATCATGAAGTCTCCATAAAACACTGATATAATTTTCTCTAATTGATTTTAATAAATTTATTTTACTTGAAAAAAATCATGAATATACAACTGAAATTATTGGACTTCGACATTTTACATGCAATGACTCCGTAGAGAAGTTGATTTAAATCGTAACTTTCTCAAACGTTTTTCAATAAATTCGATTGTATGGAATAAAAACAATTAATTTTCTGTTACTGATTATTTTCACTTTTTCTGATTTCTAATAAAATTTTCTTTTCTATTGCTCGCAGTTTAACGCAACGGGCTTATACAACGATGAAGACATATCCAAGATATTCAGCAAGACGATCTCCGATGTTACGTCTAAGCTCATTACCACGAATCAAAAGACGATTTCGCATATTATTAATAATTTCGCCACGCGGATTTTCAACAAATTTCTGTTAACTATAACATTTCCAGACCTATTGAAAGCAATAGGTTTGTAATACTTTTCTACATTTGGCGCCACGCTATCGTTTAATCAATCATTTCTACAACGATCGATCCCAGTTGAACGATACAAATACATAATAATGCACTTAAAGAGGATTTGTTGGTAATGTCGTCAAAGATAGAAAATTTTTACAAAACTTATTTTGTATTAAATTTATTTCTGCAATATATACTAATAAAAAAGTATAAAAATCGCAAGCATGAAAAAATTTCATTCCTTTATAATAAGATTTTCGCTTTCTTTATAAATTTTATTCTTTATGTTTTTTTCATACTAAAATTAAAAATAGAAAATTGATACCAATTAAAAATAACATAACATTAAATTAAAAATAAGGTAATAGTAACATAATTTGTAAACAAACTGTAAGAACATTTGTTTTAAATAAAATTAACATTTATGATATATTTAATAACACATTTTATTTATTTATCTTAGAATTTATCTTTTAAATATTATTAGTTATTTTTATGTTATTTACTCATTTAAATAACACATAAATTATATTACTTTGACACTAAAAAATGTCAAATATCATTTTCGCACAAAATATTTAAATTAAACATAATCATTAAATTAAACATTATGTTACATTAATATTGGAATATGTTAAAAATTTAACACGAAATTTTAACAAGGACTTGAATAAATCAACATAAACATAAAATATTTTTTACTGTGTATGATAAAATATGAAAGAGAAAAAAAATATGCCTCATATTGTATATCACATTTCATATAAAATTATTCCTAAAAAATAAACGTGCAAATATATTTTTTGTCTTGCATATGGTAATAAACAGACCTTGAAAATACTACTTTGAAAATACGTTCGCATGATATCGCGTTTATCAGAAAAAAAAGATAACTCGATAAATCCACAATTGAGAGAAAACGAGAAAGAATTTAAGATTCAATTAATCTAATCTTTTTTATTATATGCGTATTATGACAACTCTTTATATTATCGTGCTATCTTATATTAAAATGTAGCTACAATACGTATTAAAATTGAATTAATTACCTACTTCAATTGTACACAAATTTATATATCTGTTTATTGCATAAAATAATATTTATCATATTATAGAAATCTATATTTTTGTTATAAATATACATTTTTGCAGTTAAATAATATTACAAATTCATAATGTTATCTATAATATTGTTTATTTGCAATATTAATTTTTACCGACATAGATTAGACTTACAGTATATCTTCTTCATTTAATTTAGCAGATACTCAAACTCTATTCATTTAGCAGAAATGTAATTTTGACTTTTATATTTTTATACTTTATACTTTTATACTTTATATTTTTATATTTTTATATTTTTATATAAATGTGTGAAATATTCGACACTATTAAATCAAATTAATTGTTATTGCTCATAAAAAAATTTTAATTGTGCAATAAAAAAATATTATAAAGACACAAAATATTCTTTTGCATAAAAAAAGGTTTAGTAATAGCTACCAAATATTTAGTAAAATAATGCTAATTAAATGTTTGATTAATATAACTAAATAATTTTTACTTTCCTAAATATTTATTAAGTATCTTATTAAACGGTTACCTAAATTTATATATATATAGATATTACAAAATCTTTTTTAGTGTATTAAATATGCAGAAAATCATACATTATATCATACATTATATCAATTCAAAAAAATTCGTACAGTATTTCAATTTCTGCTGTGCATTATCTTTATATACAACACTTGATTGTTATACAAGTTGCAGCATAACAAGCTGATTTATAATCTAATCTTCAGTCTAATCTCTAGTTTTGATAAGAGATACAGGACTCATTATAAGAAAACAAACCCATTACACTAAAATAAAATTAATTGTAATAACATAATTGCAGTTAATTGCGCTTCCTATACATATACACGCAACATGAAAAAACTGCCATTAACAACTACTTCGATGTTTTCAAGAAAACTCAATGGAATTTTTCAATAAAAGAAAAAAGGAAAAATACATAAAACTTTGCATGTTTTCGTACGAAATCAAATTCCTTAACTGGACAAAGATCGAATCGTTGTACGATATGCGTAATCAATAAGAAATCTTGATTCGATATCAGCAAATTGTGCCTATAAATACGTCCACATTTTCTTCATCTCGCAGTTTTGTTTGTGCTGTCTGAACAAACATAAAGTCGGACGGTTGTCAGAATACTGGTGTAAATCAACTTACGACGAGCCGTACGTAAACAATATATGATCGTTCTAGGCCTTGAGAGCCACAAAATTTTCACAGATAATAAAAAATTTACAATTTTAGGCACAAATAGATATTAAACGCAAAAAAGTGACGAGTCAACTAAATTTAAATGAAATGATTATAAATTTCTTTCGGCTTCCGTGTCTTTTAAATATCCGCGTCACGGAAAGATGCGAGAATATATTCGATTGCGATGTCCTTTTACGATAATAACATTGACTAATAATAATAACGGGAATTTAGCTTTAAGGCTGATAGGTACTGTGACAGCGTAACTAATAATAAATAGATCATGTTTTCTACTTCACGCAGAAAAATGAAGCTGCAGGTAGTGTTCGGCCTCATCCTAATCTGTTGCAATGCAAGGGCAATGAGAATAAACGGTAAGCAGATATCTATATTTTTTCTTCTATAATTCCCTTATATTTCTCTTACATTTCTCTAGAGATACATTTCTCCAAGCCAGTGATGCGCAACTTTTTTAAGAATCATTTTCAATAGAACATTTTTAGAATCTTTAAAATCAGGACATTTAAAATCTTTCGGGCTATATAATGTTTATTTCATTGGCATAAAATAGAAAATATGATTTTATATTTTCGGCTATGAGCCGGTAAATTCACAGAGGCCAAAAATTCACAGATAAACCATATGCGATCTATGCGAACTGCAAGTTGTGCAACGCTGTACGAAACGATATTTTTCTAAAAGAGTAAATCGTTTATATTATTTATTTCATGCCTATTTTTATATTGTCTATCTGCAATTAAATTATTTGTTTTTAAACATTCAATTGTTTTTTTTAATACTTCTCATGAAATATATTTTTAATAAAAAAATCTTAAAAAATTGCATATTTTTTAATAATCTATTTATCGTATTATCAGATTATTATCACGAATTAATTATTCTTTTATATTATTATAATTTTCACAATTTTACGCTTTTATTATTAATATGTTATTAAGAATCTAATTAATATTATATTAAATTTTAAGACTATTTTTTTACTCACATATTTTTTTTTAAATACGAGATATTTCTCTCTTTAATAATAATATTTTATCAAAAATATAAACACTTGCATTTATTTGCGTAAGCTAATAATGGAATAAATGTTATCTGCAAAATTTATATAAATTTTATTTTTTCTTGGCAGAACCGTTTGGAAATCCGATGGTACAAGATGCTCTCGAGAAGTTAAAAAATACTCTGAAGACAGGAAACGAGAAACTTGGAATTCCGATTCTTGATCCATTCAAAGCAGACCAGCTTGCGATTAATGTTAATGAAGACCAAATCAAGTCCGTGCCGTTCAATTTTTTATTATAATTTTTAATTAACATAATGTCTATGATGTGAACGAAAAAAGCTACAAAACCCATTATTGCTTCATCGTATTTTTTCCTTTTCTATTTATTTTACTCATTATATATAGCCATAAATCTGTAACTCTCATTTATCTTCTTTTTAGTAAAACTGTAAGCGTGGTTCAATATTTTTGACAAATATATTTTTTAAATAGTAACATAGTAATAGATAATGATTCGCGTCATTTTACTTAAACAAAAAAAAAATGTGTTTATCACGGAATTAAATTTATAAATTTCTTTATACTTTTTAACATTACAAATTTTTTATGTCTTTTGCATATTTTCAGATTGAATGCGAATTTGAGTATGTGCAATGCAAACGGTTTATCTGGATATGACGTCATCAATGGGGATTTGAGCATGTCCGAAGACATTGTTTTATCGCTTCATCTTTCGTGGCCTTTGGTCATCGCGAATACTAAATACGACATGAAAGGCAAAGTCGACAATTTTGAACTTTTCGGAAATGGTGACATAAAGTGAGTATTACTCGTTTCTTAAAAATTGAAAATTGAAACCAATATCTACAATTGTGGTGAACTTAAAATTTTAAGAATTACTATTCAAAATTAGACCAACAAGAATAAATCGATTAAGAGAAATAACACAGGTTCACAAAAAGAAAGTGCTGGGATGGAGACCCGGTTATTCTTATTTTGAGTCTGAATACGAATTTGACATCAAAGTAGAACCATCCAAGGAAATTTTTCGATTTAGAGTGAAAAAATGACCCTTTTTCCCATTTTTGACCCATTTTTTCACTTTAGATCGAAAATTTTCCCTGGATGGTCCTATTTTTATATCAGATATTCGTATTCAGCGACTCAAAATACATAAGAATAGCTGGGTCTCCACCTCACAGGATACTTTTTTTGTGGGCCTGTGTAAATCTATTTCCAGTTAAAGCGGATTTTAGTGTTTATTGATATTAATATGCAAATAACTAATTTACAAATACATTTTTTTCAAACTTGAAATACAAAGCGCCTTACCGGTTCGAGAATTAAGATGTTGAACTACTATATAATACACATTCATTTAAATTGAATTAATTTTAAGAAATAAATTGCGAGCCGATGAAATTATCGGATTCACACAATCAATCTGAAACAAATAATCCCCCCAAAATTTCCCAAATCTTAAAAAACTGTAATAAACTTATTGCGCGAAAAATATTTTCTCGGCCGGGAGTCGAACTCGGATCTCTTGTCCATGCGATAATTTCATCGGCTTGTAATTTATTTCTGAAAATTAATTCAATTTAAATGAATGTATATTATATAGTAGTTCAACATCTTAACACTCGGACCGGTAAGGCGCTTCGTATTTCAAGTTTTAATATAAACGGTCTCGTTTCCAAACATTTTTTTCAGTTCTGTAAACTGCGCGTCGATTCGATTACTTATGTCAAATTTGAAACGCAATTACAAACAGAAGCAAACTAAAGATATCGCAA